CCTCACAACTGGACCAATGAGCAGCATCACAATAAATGGAGAGAAGATTGAGGTTGTCAAGGAATTCACGTTGCTTGGTTCTACAATCGATGCCAAGGGAAGCAGCACTTAGGACATTAGACGACGTGTAACACTGGGTAGGTCAAACGTGAAGGAACTGTTTCGAGTGCTGAGGAGCAAGGATGTCTCCTTGAGAACTAAGGTGCCTGACACAAGCCTTGATATTTCCAATCGTGTCTTATGTATGTGAGAGCTGGACAATGAATAAGGAAGACTGATGCTTTTGAGTTGTGATGCTGGTGAAGAATGCTGAAAGTACCATGGACTGCTAAAAGAACTAACAGATCTGTCCTGGAGGAAACGCACCTGAAATGCTTCTTGGAAGCAAGAATGGCAAGACTTCATCTCACCCACTTTGGTCATGTTGTCAGAAGGGACTATTCCCTGGAGAAGGATGTCATGCTTGGTAAGGTGGAGGGTTGACGAAAGAGGGGAAGGCCTTCAACGAGATGGATTGACATGGTGGCTGCGATGATGGGCTCAAGTATATCAGGGATCATGGAGCTGGTGCAGGATCGGGCAGTATTTCATTCTGCTGTATATGGGGTTGCTATGAGTTGGAAATGACTCGATGGCAGCTAACAATAACAACAACAACAACAACACTGTGATGATGATGATGATGATGATGATGATGATTCCTTGGATTCTTGGTTTGGCCTTTTACCTAGTACTGTCCTATTGACATAACATGGCAAAACAGAGAGAGAGTGAGAGAGGGAGGAGGAGAGTCAGAAGGAGAAAGGGAGAGATTAGGAAGAAAAATCTTAATTAATTCAAAGTGAATGGGATTGAAACAAGTAGATTGCAGTAAGTCCCACCTATCCTTGGAATAATGTCTTCTAAGCAGTAATGGTTTTTTGGGAGCTTACTAGATTTCATGGAAAAAGTGTCAACCATGTCATTTGTCCTGAACTATAATTTGAGCTCATTAACTCATTTGTTATTAAAAGACTTAACATGCGTAAAGCAAGTAGAACAGTTTATTTATTTAAATAAATTCAGACTATCCTTATAAGCTGTCTCACCATTTATTCATTCATTCATTTATACATATTTTGTCTAGAAAATACTTAGTGAGGGTCTACTAGCTACCAAGTTCCGTACTATGCATGGTGGGTACAAGGAAAACTAGATAAACAGGGTCTCTACCATTGTGAAGATTAGATTCTAGCTGAGGGAAACTCTGATGTTAACAAGTTTGGCTTTAAATCTTTAAGCCCTTCTCGGTCTTAGTGTCTTCATCAGTAAAACGAAGACTTTTTTTTTTTTCATTTTCAAAATATTGGTATACTATCTTCCTATAGAGAGCTCTGGTGGTGTAGTGCCTAAGGCATTTGACTGCTAACCAGAAGGCTGGTGGTTCACATCCACCAGCTACTCCTTGGAGGGAAGGTTGGGCAATCTACTTTCGTAGTGATACTGCCTCGGGGTATCACATGGAGGGGTCGCTATGAGTTGGATCTGACTCTAGGGCAGAGAGTTTGTTGTTTTGGGTTTGGTATCTTCCTATAACCCTATTTAGCTGTCTGACTATATGCTGATCATTTATTGATACTCAATAAATACGTATTGATGCCTATCATGTGCAGGCATGTGCTAAAAAAAACTCACTGCCATGGAGTGGATTCTGACTCATAGTGACCCCATTTGGGTTTCTGAGGCAGGAAATCTTTACCAAAGTAGATTGCTCAGTCTTTGTTCCACAAAGTGCCTGGTGGGTTTGAACCACCAGCCTTCTGGTTAGCAGTCAAATGCCTTAGGCACTATGCCACCAGAGCTAGGCATATGCTAGATGCTGAAGGAAGATTGGGCAATCTACTTCTGTAGAGACAGGGCCTCAGAAACCCAAGGAGGGTTCTCTGTGAGTCGAATTGACTTGACGGCGGTGAGTTTGTTTTTTTTTGTTGGGATATAAGAGCAGACATGGTGTCTTCCTTCGTGGAAGACTGAGTTCAATACATGAGGAGATATTGACTAGGTAATTGTGAGTTTGACCAGTGTTACAAAGGGCAAAATTCTTTGTTTTTTTTTTCTATTCTTGATTTGGATATCAGAATCCACTGCCGTCGACTGCTAACTGCCGACTCCTAACGACCCTATAGGACAGAGTGAAATTGCTTCATAGGGTTTCCAAGGCTGTAAATCTTTATGGAAACAGACTGCCTCATCTTTCTTTTGTGGAGCCACTGGTGGATTTGAACCACTGACCTTTCTGTTAGCAGCTGAATGCTTCAACCACTGCATTACCAGAGTTCCTTTGTATAACAGAAAGAAACAAACAAATAATGTCATTTTTGATAGAAAATACATTATAAAATAATACCCAGCTTAATTTTGTCCTCCCATTTTGTGAGTTTATATTTTCTCGTCTGCTTCAACAGGAGCCGTTGGACATCATGGAGACAACTTAGTAGAGAAGATAATTTCAGTGCTTCCCCAGCTTCCAGGCCACACAAATGATGTGATGGTGAACATGATAGAACTCACTGCACTCCAGACCAACGAGGAGAATCACAAGATGGTTGTACCAGGCTGTCTCGCACAAGCGGGGTAAGAAATGTAGCTTTTTTTTCTTTTGTCTGCCTCTGTCTCCCCTTTTCTACCTCTTCCAAACTGAGGGTTCCTGTAGAAATGAAACAATGGAGACTCGCTCTGCTTAGAAAATTCATACTGGATAACATTTCTAAAACAGCATTCCCCCCCCCCCCTTATCTATTGTACTTAACAGTAAACCACAAAGTCTGTAATTTTATAGAAGTACCATTTAGATGTAATATAAGCTTGTTCCCAGGATCAGTCAAATGAGTCCATTCATGCGTCTGCCTTTTACAGACCATTTCACATGGAGTTGAGTATAGACTTACTCAATTTCTTTTTCCCAATTGACTTTCTCATGTGACTATAAAGGAACCCACATAACTATGAAATAGTGCCATCTTTTAAAATATAAATGATATGCTTTTAGGCATCCGTGGGATGAGTTTTTATTTTTAAGTATATTTGTTCATAGGTTTAGAGAAATCAGAGACAGAACAAGGTACACTTTATGTTATGCAGACTTGCAAAAATAAAAGACCATTTCTCCAGAAACATGATACTAAAAGATACAGTAGTCACCTTCTCTACTTTGTCTTTCATTAACAATTCTTTTGAGGGGAGAAGAAAAAAAAGTATTAGAAGGGAAAAAAATGTCTAGGTATCTGTTTTCCTTATCTCTATATTTTGTATTTTTTTTAAAAGGAACTTTTCCACATTATAGTTCAAATCTTAACACTTACATATACATTTGAAATTTACTATCATATCTGGAATTAGTTTTAAGCATCTGGAGTTTTCAGCTGTTTTACAGACAGTTAATAACACATATTGGATGCTCAATGTGTGTAGACTAGTGTGGGAAGATGCAGGGAAAGCAAGGTTCTGAACCCTCTTATTTTTGAATGCTTATGCTACAATAAAAACAGAAACTCAGAAGTAATTGTGATTGGTAATGTTTTTAGCTATTTAGAGGAACACTCAGCAGTTTATTAACGGTTTACTGTGAGGCTTACCCTGGACTAAGCAATATGAAGGACATAAACTATCATTCATGCTTTCAGAGTATTTTTCTTATTCAGGAAGTCATGATTCACACATAAGTACAATTAGATAAAATGGAAATGATGTGAAATCAAAACTAATGTGTCTGATACTGATTATAATTCCTACAAGTAAAGAATCAGGTTAAGGTGGTTTTTGTAGGTCAATGTGAAAACGGTGGTGCTTCAATTAGGTCTTGAAGGATTTACAAATGGGAGGTTAGTATGAGCAAAATTATGGAAACAAGAATGACTAGGACCTGATGTGATCAGTTGCAAGGAAGAGAGATAAGCTTATTGGATGACCACTACCTCCTTCCACCACTGCCAACAGCCCTGTTAACATTTTTTAGGACTTAATTGTGCTCCAAGCCTACTTCCAGGCATTTTACTTTTGGAAAGTCATTCAATTTTTACAATAATACATTATTTTAATTATCTAGTGCTGGTACAATAGTTGGGAGCTCTGGTGGTGTAGTGCTTGAGGCATTTGACTGCTAACTAGAAGGCTGGTGGTTCAAACCCACTAACCACTCCTGGGAAGGAAGGCTGGACAATCTACTTTCCTAGAGATACTGCCTCAGAAACCCAAGGAGGGGTCACCATGAGTTGGATCTGACTCAATGGCAGTGAGTTTTTTTTTTTTTTTTTGTACAATAGTTATACCACAAGTGGGTGAGTTGAATGAACAGAACAAACTGGAAGTCTGAATCCAGGCTTCTGGCTGTAAAGGAAGGATTTCTCTCTCTGCTCTGGGGAGGGTACTTGTTTCTTGGTTCCTTGATGATATTCATGATGCTTGGCATCTATCTTCCCCTAACCATTCTTTCTTGCTTCATTTCTTAGTCTGGTCCTTTTATATCTCAAAGGAGATTGACTCAAGATAGCCCCTATACTACTATCTCATTAAGCTAACATAAACAGCATTCCCAAATGGGATTATAACCACAGGTATGTTGTTGTTGTTGTTATGTGCCGTTGAGTCGGCCCCGACTCATAGCGACCCCTCCTTGGGTTTCCGAGGCAGTATCACTACGGAAGTAGGTATAGGGGTTAGGATTTATAACCCATATTTCTGGGGTACACAGTTAAATCCTTAATATCCCATCCTTTGCCACCCCCCTCCCCCAAATTCATATCCTTCCTACATGCAAAACACATTCATTCTGTTGGATCATCCCAAAAGTCTTATCTTCTTTATTCTCTAAATCAATTATGGGTGACACTTCAAGTGTATTCCTTCCTGGGGCAAGACTTTTCTTCATCTGTGAACCTATGAAATCAGCTTCCAAAGTACAATGGTAGAACATGCACAAGGTAGATATTTCCATTAAAAATAGGAGAAAATGAAAAGAAAGAAGGTATAACAGACACCAAGTAAGTCCAAAACCCAGCTGAGGAAATTACAGTAGGCACTAAAGCTTGAAAATAATCCTCTGCTTTCTGGCATCATCTGGGCAATGGCCTCACACTTACAGTTCTGGGTGGGTGTTGGCTATGTTCTCTGGAATCTGGGTGGAGACCCCTCAACCATGGACTTCAGCTCCACCTTCCAGATGCACTGGCATGGCAGTTCTGCTTCCTCAGCTTTGTTGTTCTTGTTGTTACATGATGTCGAGTCATCTTTGACTCATAGTGACCCTATGCACAGCAGAATGAAATACCACCCAGTTCTGTGCCAGCTCCGCAATCCCTGCTATACTTGAGCCCATCGCCGCAGCCACTGTGTCAATCCATTTGATTGAGGGCCTTCCCCTCTTTTGTTGACCCTCCACCATACCAAGCATGACATCCTTCCCCAGGGAATGATCCCTTCTGACAACATGACCAAAGTAGGTGAGATGAAGTCTGGCCATTCTTGCTTCCAAGGAGCATTCCGGCTGCACTTCCCCCAGGACAGATTTGTTAGTTCTTTTAGCAGTCCATGGTACTTTCAGCATTCTTTCCCAGCACCAAAACTGAAAAGCATCAATTCTTCGTTCTTCCTTATTTATTATCCAGCTCTCACATGCGTATGAGGTAATTGAAAATATCATGGTTTGTGTCAGGTGCACCCTGGTCCTCAAGGAGACATCTTTGCTCTTCAGCACTTGAAAGAAGTCTTTTGCAGCTTGCCCCATGCTATATGTCATCTGATGTCCTGACTGCTCCTTCCATTGGTGTTGATCGTTGAACCAAGTAATGTGAAGTCTTTGTCAATTTCACTCTTTTCTCAATTAATTGTAATGTTGCCTATAGGACTAGTTGTAAGCATTTTTGTTTTCTTTATATTGAGATGTAATCCATGCTGCAGACTGTGTTCTTGAATCTTCATCAGCAAGTGCTTCAAGTAATTCTCACTTTCAGCAAGCAGAGTTGTGTCATCAGCATATTGCAGGTTGTTAATGATTCTTCCTCCAATCTTGATGCCACATTCTTCTTCATATAGTCCAGCTTCTCAGATTATTTGCTCAGCATATAGAGTGAATAAGTATGGTGAAGGGACACAACCCTGGCACACTCCCTTCTTGATTCTAAACCAGGCAGTGTTCCCTTGTTCCATTCAAACGACAGCTTCCTGGTCTATTTACAGGTTTCTCATGAGTACAATTAAGTGTTCTGGAATTCCCATTCTTCTCAGTGTTATCCACAATTTGTTATGATCCACACAATCAAATGCTTTTACATAGTCAATAATTTAACACAAACATCTTTCTGGTATTCTTTGCTTTGAGCCGAGATCCATCTGAATCAACAATGATATCCCTTGTTCCACATTCTCTTCTGAGTCCAGCTTACACCTTTGGAAGTTCTCTGTCAATATACTGCTGCAACCGTTTTTGAATTATCTTCAGTAAGATTTTACTTGCGTGTGATATTAATGATATTGTTTGATAATTTCGACATTCTGTAGGATCACCTTTCTTTGAAATGGGTACAAATATGGATCGCTTCCAGTCAGTTGGCCAGGTAGCTGTCTTCCAAATCTCTTGGCATAACCAAGTGAGTGCCTCCAGTGCGGGATCTGTTTGTTGAAACATCTCAATGTGTATTCCGTCAATTCCTGGAGCCTTGTTCTTCACCAATTGCTTCAGTGCAGCTTCGACTTCTTTCTTCAGTATCATTGGTTCTTGATCATATGCCACCTCCTGAAATGAATGAAGATCTACCAGTTCTTTTTGGTACAGTGACTCTGTGTATTCCTTCCATCTTCTTTTGATGCTTCCTGCATCATTCAATATTTTGCCCATAGAATCCTTCAGTATTGCAACTCAAGGCTTTAATTTTCTCCTCAGTTCTTTCAGCTTGAGAAATGCTGAGTGTGTTCTTTTGATTTTCTAACTCCAGATCTTTGCACATTTCATTATAGTAATTAGCTTTTTCTGCTCGAGCTGCTCTTTGAAATCTGTTCAGCTCTTTAATCTTGTCATTTCTTCCATTTGCTTTGGCTGCTCTCTGCTCAAGGGCAAGCTTGAGAGTGTCTTCTGTCATCCATATTGGTCTTTTCTTTTTTCTGATCATTTTAATGACCTCTTGCTTTCTTCATGGATACTGTTCTTGATGTCCTCTCATGATTCTTCTCACTTTTGGTCATTGGTGTTCAATGCATCAAATCTATTCTTTCAATGGTCTCTAAATTCAGGAGGGGTATATTCAAGGTCATATTTTGTCTGTTGTGGACTTGTTTTAATTGTCTTCAAGTTGAACTTACATATGAGCAGTTGATGGTCTGTTCCAGTCAGCTCCTTGCCTTGTTTTGGCTGAAGATAATGAGCTTTGCCATTGCCTCTTATCACAGATGTAGTCAGTCTGATTCTTGTGTATTCCATCTGGTGAAGTCCATGTGTATAGCTGCTGTTTGTGTTATTGAAAAAAAGGTATTTGCAATGAATAAGTCATTGGTCTTATAAAATTCTATCATGCGATCTCCAGCATTATTTCTGTCACTAAGGCCAAATTTTCCAAACACTGGTGATTGTTCTTTGTTTCCAA